ACAGTGACTGATAACGGTTGTTAAGGGTGGGACAAATAAAGAGCATTTTAGTATTAAGGTTTTGCGTTCACATCGCCTGGTGTTTATGTCGCCATATTGGAGGTCAAACTATTTATCTGGACTGTAGCTCCCCTGGTTTCTTCGCAAAAAAGGACTTCACGCTCCGTACTGATGATCATGTGTGTCAATATTTATTCTCAGTGATCTTCAACTCCGCCAACACATTGAGACACCGTGAAAACTAAAATAAGGACAGACAGACAAAACGTCTCAGCTTTACATAAATACCTTTAAATAAATGCAGAACTGAAAACAATATTTACCGTGTTCGCCGATACATCACCAGCAGGAGTTAAGTAGCGGTTCTTTAATTTTTTCTGCGTCTTTTTCTTTACACCTTTTTCTGTGTTTCTCTTTATTGTCTTTTTCTCTCTTCCGTGGTTACTATTTTTCTCACTCTGTTTACCTCCGGGGCAAAGTAAAACGTCACATAACTCCAAGGTAAATAGTTTCAGAAATAAAACATAAAATTAATAACTCTGGTGTTCTGACACATCTTAATATTGAGCAAATACAATAACAAACAAATTCATTATCGTCAGCTACATGGACCAACGTGTTGTATCTGTGTGCGATAAAATGTGAATTGAATAACAGTGGTTTTGACCTGTGCTGCTGTTGGATGTTCTGAGTCACTCTGTACTTTACTTTACTGTAATTAATTTTTTTCCTTTACTCTAACTTTGTGTCATTAGTGTGTCTAAAGTTATTTTAATATTATCTAGATAAGGTTTAGCTGCAACTGCTCCTGTTCACATATTCATGAACAAGACGAATTCCAAAAGTGTGGACTGAAAACCGACAGAGTCATCGATACAACATTTGATTTTTGTCCTAATCTATTTTTTTTTTTACTCTAAACTTGAGGTTTAAAGGGGAGACTGGTCAACGGTTGTCAGACTGGTTTCTATCTAGTGCCTCTGCTCAATTTTATTTCTCTCCAGCGACTAGGTCAGGAATCAGAAAACACTAGACCACAGGTGTCAAACATAAGGCCCGGGGGCCAGATCCGGCCCTCCAAGACCTTTAATGTGGCCCTTGGGTGATTTTCTACTTAAATATTGTAATGATATTTTCTATTAAAATCGTGTTAATTTTCTGTGGTGTTTATCACAGCAGCGTCTCCAGCGTCTCTGTACGTGGCCCCTCCCACCAGAGCAGCACAAATGAAGACTTGTCTCTTTCCAAACGCTCTTAAAGGACGATCGTTTTGACTGTTGACCGTGACACCCTCATCAGAAAAATGTCCAACATGAGAAAAGTGGAGCCGAGTGCAGGATTTTACAACAAAAATGGACTTATTCCTGTTGGCATACAAATTATTGTTAAAACATTGTGTTGAAATTGAATTTTTCTTCAAGTTTCAGGTTGTTCATAATATTATAATATTATAATAAGAAAGAGTTCATCAATTAAAAAAGATTTCTGTAATAGATTTGCGTTTCTCTGCACAAATATTTGAAGTTATTGTTATTTTTGGGGTTTATATGACATGAGTTTTCTGATCCGGACACTTTGGGATCAAAGTCGGTTGGATACGACGCCCGGACCAAAATGAGTTTGACACCCCTGCACTAGACGGTTCGCAAAAACCCCAGAAGTGCAAGTTCGAGCAAAAGCCAATCAGCGAAGAGTCAGACATTCTGTGTTGGCAACGATTCCTGAGATGGAGGATTTAAAGCCGGAACAAAGAGAATGTTTGGTGAATTTGATTAAGGGGAGGGATGTTATTGCCCTTGTTCCTACGGGATTTGGGAAAAGCTTAATATACCAGTTAGTCCAATAACAAAGGTTTTGAGCTGTGTTGCTGTTGGATGTTCTGACCGGAGTTAATCTGCTAAAGAAGGAGGCCGAAGTGTCTCCCTATCAGATCCCGGCCGATAAAGATCACAGACAGACGTGGAGAGCAACAGAAAAACAGATGGATGGAGCTCACTGAGTACAGTCGTCTGTCAGTCAACATTTCATTTCACACACAAAAAAGAAGAAGAGATTTACACTAAATGAAATGACAGATACCAAAATTATTTTTCTCGCTGGTGTACCGATACAAAACCCCCATCCTCACTTTCGCCGGCCAGAAATCCCCCCCCAACCCACCCTCTATTTCCAGCGTCCCTTGTCGCTCCGGCTCTGATTTTGACCTCCGTTCTACTTCCTCTGGCTGTTATCGGGAACAGATGTGATGTTTGGTGATCAACAAAGATCTCACACATCCCGTTACAAAATATTTATAATCCTCTAACCCCGTGTAGCTTTTCAGTTCTTGGTTGGTGCAGGACGACGTCGAATGAATGAAGTAGTTTAAATATCCGGAGACTAAAGGTTTGGCACAGAGCGAGCGTCGATTAAACTGACAAAGCTCCATCGGAGTTAGATCAGGATCTATTCCACAACTCAGGAGGACAACTTTAGATTTATACTTTTCTAATGACGCTGATCTAACGAGCTGGAGGTTTCACACTGTTTTATGTCGTTTGCGCAGTTTAAAGACGCCGTGATTATACTGAAATTAACTGAAAAATCCCAGTGTTGACCTGCAGTATGGACGACAAAACGTTAAATCACATGACTGACACGTCGCACGCAAATCCTTAATTGGGCTCATTTTTAGGAAACATGCCTCTGAAACTCCACACTGCCCCGTCAGAATGAAATAAACAGGTCTGTCCATCAGAAATATAAAGATATAAAGGGATATTTTGTTCATTTTACTCTCAATTTACGTTTTGTGTGAAACTTGAACCTCGAACGTGACATTTACGGGGACGTTTTTTAAATATCGGCTAAATATATCGCGAAAAAAAAAAAAAATTGAGATGTTAATTTCTGTTCATTTTCATTCATCGCCCAAACCTTCCCAAGCCAAACTGGCACCACCTAGTGCCTCCGCTCAGTTTCAAAATTTCGCAAAAACCCTGGAAGTGCGAGTTTGGGCACCAACCAATCAGCGAAGAATCAGACATTCTGTGTTGTCAACGATTCCCGAGATCGAGGATTTAAAGCCGGAACAAAGAGAATGTTTGGTGAATTTTATCAACGGGAAAGACGTTATTGTCCTTCGGGATTTGGGAAAAGTTTAATATACCAGTTAGCCCAAACAGCAACAATTGGTTAAATAAAAAAAGTACCGTATTTTCCGGGCGATTAGGCGCGGCCTTAAGACTCCAAAAACGACTGCGCGCCTTATAATCCGGAGCGCCTTTTATATGAATTTATGCGAGTGTTCCAGTACAACTTCAGTAAACGACAAAGCCGCACCACTTGCAGCATTACGGCTACCGTAGTCAGGAGCATCGTGGAGTGATACGTACTGTGATTCCTCATTTTTCCTGTGGACGAGGAGAAGATGAGCGACTGGCTGCGAGAAGTTTACCTTAAGAGACCGGATGGCTTTTTCCACACATCTCCGTCCCTATTGATCTGCGACTCCAGCGCAGTAACAGGTTGTTGTCCAGACGCAGCCGCGATTCATTTTCAAATTATTTTACCAACAATGGCCAATACAGAGAATGTAACACACGAAGATCAGAGCAAGAACCAGTGTGTGAACGTGTGGCTCCAGAGTGAGTCAAAATTGGGGGTGTGTACGTCTGTTCATGACCTGCACGCACAGAGACGACCCGGTGTTCCCCGTGATCATGTACCAACCAGCATTTGTTATTTTAGGCTTTAATTAACCAAATAATTTTATGGCAGTAGCCTATTCAATTGATACAACTTCAAAAAGTCCCTGCTTTTAGCCTAGTGTGAGAAATACAGTCGGACTAGATCCAAACCAGAGTCCTGAACCAGCAGGAGCAGCTCCAGTTCAGGCCGGGCTCAGAGGAGCTGGAGCGGGGAGCCTCGACCTGAGGAAGCGCTTTCCCCGGGAAGAACCAAATGTGCGGAGGACGGACGCTCAGAACAACATATAACAAACCAAACTGGACTCACGCTTCTGTCCGGATGCTGCACCACCTCGGAACCAGTCGCGGTTCTTGAGCGCGGAGAACCGGAGCAGCGCCCGGACCTGTAGTCCACAGCGCATTCTTGCTTTCCCGCACAGAACCAGCGCGCAGACGACGGAACGTACCCGCTCGAGACTCAGTCCATCAAGCACTGGTCTTACTCGCCACCGTCTGGAACCAGCACATGGAGGACAGAGCCTCCGGACCATCTGACCAACGAGCTTGTAGGACGACAGAAGACCAAGGACCAGACCCCAGCCCCGTCCTGAGGAGCTGTTGGCTGCTGCTGTTACCTGAACTCTGGGCTGATGCGGTGAGTTTGTACAAAGTTCTACATGTTGCTGTTTTATGAGTTCATGGTGATAATTTGAGATGAGGACGGCCCGCGGTTTTAACAGGAACATCGGTGTTGATAACTGGAGTATCGCTGTTTTCCCGGGAAACAGAGACACGTCAATCGAACCAGTTTTAGTTCGTTTGTCGGTGTGAACGCGGACACACTGGAGTCTATTTGCTACATAATAACAATTTTATTGCCTGGTGCGGACCAAATAATCGAACTAGCGGTGTGAAAACGACCTAATGTGTTATTTTTAGTTATAACCGAACAATTATGAGTTATTGTGAATACGCTGACAATTTATCGGTCTCGGACAGTTTTTTGTTTTTTACGTGTTACAAATGAACAAAGTTGAGAGTTAACGTAACGAGTAAACGCGTTAAATAAAGTTTGACTGATTTACCCAACTGTTGTGTTTCGTTTAACGCGCCTTATAGTCCAGTGTGGTTTATATGTGAAAAAAGTGTGTCTTATAACCCGGAGCGCCTAATCACCCGGAAAATACGGTACCCGTCTACTGTCGAGCGAACGAATTCTAACACTGCGAGGTCAGACGGTTTGTACGACGTGAAACCGCCTCATGAATCAAACTAAACCTTCCCCACGTTTATGACCCAGACTGTAGCGGCTGATCTGTGTTTCGGTCTCACCTCTCGGAGCTCCTTCTCGTGTCTGAACTCGGGCAGCGTCTCCAAGCAGAAGATGAGGATGGACACCACGATCACCATGACGCTGATGATGGCGATGATCCTGGCGGCGCCCGAAGACTCCGGATACTCAAAGAGCATCCACAGCTTCCTCTGCAGCGCCCCCTCGGGCAAGGTCCTCTCCTCCTCCTTCACAAAGCCCTCGTCCTCCTTAAAGCGGTCCACCACGTCCTCGCCGAGCTCGTAGAACCTCAGCTCCTCCATGAACATGTCCAGAGGGACGTTGGTGGGTCTCCGGAGCCTCCCGCCCGACTGGTAGAAGTACAGGATGGCGTCGAAGCAGGCGCGGCTCCGGTCCAAGAACAGCTCGTTCCTCAACGGGTCGAAGTATCGTATTCGGCGTTTGGGGTCTCCCAGCAGCGAGTTGGGGAACTGCGCCAGCGTCCGGAGCTGCGTCTCGTACCTCATCCCCGACACGTTTATGGCGAGGCGATCGGTGAGCGCCCATCCTCCTCGCCACGCACACCGGCGCCTGCGAGGGGTCTTCTCGCTGATGTCCTTCTCCAGGCGGTTGTTCTTGTCTTTGGTTTCTTTGCATTCGTCCAGTTTGAGTTTCTCTTCACTCGAGTTGTCTCCGTCCTCTTTGTCCATTTTCCCGGACGATGGGCTTCACGGCGGTGTGAAGTTGTTTCGTGGCGCTGTAGAAAAAGAAAGAGTTTAGAGAAAATCAAATAACTTTAAATAATTTTAACTGTACTTTACTGTTATTTATTTTTTCCTTTTGTCGAACTTTGTGTCATTAACGTGTCTAAAGTTAATTTAATATTATCCAGATAAAGTTTGCCCGTAACTGCTCCTGTTCAAACATTCATGAACAAGACGGATTCCAAAAGTGTGGACTGGAAACGAACAGAGTCATCGATTCAACAGTTTGATTTTTGTCCTAATCTATTTTTTTAAACTCTAAACATGAGGTTTAAAGGGGAGACTGGTCAACGGTGTCCAGACTGGTTCCATCCTAGTGTCTCCGCTCAATTTTATTTCTCTTCAGTGACCAGGTCAGGAATCAGAATACACTAGACGTTTTGAAAGAACCCCAGAAGTGTGAGTTCGGGCACCAGCCAATCAGCGAAGAGACACTCTGTGTTGGCGACGATTCTCGAGATCGAGGATTTAAAGCCGGAACAAAGAGAATATTTGGTGAATTTTATCAAGGAGAAAGACGTTATTGTTCTTCTTCCTGCAGGATTTGGAGCATTACAAACATCAGCGATTGGTTAAATAAAAAAAGTCCCCGCCTTCCGTCGAGCGAACGAATCCTAATGCTGTGAGGTCACACGGTTTCTACGACGTGAAACTGGCTGATGAATCAGACTCGGTCACCGGGCTTTCTCCAGACTGATGTGTGTCCCTCGGAATAGAGTTCTAGAGTTTATAAATCTGGGACGACTCTCTGACTGATCAGGATCCACAGAACTGTAATAAAATCTGAAGGTGAACCCAAGGCGATCCCAAAAATATTTTTACTTCCTGAATACTGTCCTTACGCCGCAAAATGTGTGACGTCAGAAACCCGCAGTTCTGAGTTGTACAAATGCTGCAGTACAAAATCTGACTTCTGTGAAAGCCGGATGCCCTGTGAGAACACGGACAATTTGATTTCACGTAAATGCATTGTTCTTCTTCAGGAGAATTCTTTCTGGGCCTGAGCTCCTGGGAGCTGCAGTACCTGAAGTGGCCTCTAGTCGACCTCTCTCGCGAACAGAGGGGGAGGGGCTTATACAGTTCTTATTCTAGTATAAACAAATACTTCACTCTGATTGATCAAAACGTCACAAAAGTGGAATAAGTCACAAAGTTAAATTTTAGTTCAATCCAGTTGAGAGAAAAGCTCAGACATCTTTCCCTTCGCACGTTTTTTCACAAACAGAAGTCAGTATTTTCACTCAAAAGCTGAAGTGCGTCTGTTTCGGTTTGTTCGCTGCTCTGTGATCGATCCGTCCAAAAACGCTGTACAGCAAGAAGAAATCTCACAGTATTTAACAAACCCACAAGAATCTAATCCATGTGTCCTTCATTCATTTGTTTATCAAAATAAAACAAAAAATATATAAAAATAAAAATAAAACAAACAAAAAACAACTATTTTCTTCATTATTTGTCTCCAAAGCCAAAATGAAAAAAACAGAAACTGATTTTTTTGTGTGTGTGTGTTTAAATGAAAAATAGGGAAAAAAAATGAATACTGGACTGAACCAGGACTAAACCAGGTCCAGGATGAAACCGGGACCAGACCAGGACTGAAAATGGTTCAGTCCTGGTCTGGTCCTGGTTCAGTCCGAATCCGTTTTTTTTCCATTTTTCATTTAAACACACACACAAAAAAAAATCAGTTTCTGTTTTTTTCATTTTGGCTTTGGAGACAAATAATGAAGAAAATAGTTGTTTTTTCATTTTCTTATTTTTGGTTTTATTTTGAAAAACGAATGAACGAACGACACACGGATTATTGAGGTTTGTGCAGAAGCCAAAGGTGAATCGCCCAAATGACCCAAAACAAACAAACGGACGGACAGAGGAAATGTCCGAGCTTTTCTCTAAACCAGATGTAACAAAAGGTTGATTTTTCGGCTCATTCTGTTCATTTTTTTTGACCTTCTTGAGTTCAGAGTGACACACAGCGACTCGAGCCCCTGACCCGGTGTTCTGTTGGCGACTTGAGCCCCTGACCCGGAGCTGTTCTATTGTGAAATCCGTTTGAGCGTCAGAGTCCGTGAAGTGTTCACATAACATCACCAGAGCCAAACATTTGTGAAGCTCCTCTTACCCTGCCCGGACTAAAACTGGACTACAGCAGGACTGAACCAGGACTGAACCAGGACTGAACCAGGTCTACAGCAGGACTGAACCAGGACTAAACCAGGACTAAACCAGGACTAAACCGGGACTGAACCAGGACTGAACCAGGTCTACAGCAGGACTGAACCAGGACTGAACCAGGACTGAACCAGATCTAAAACTTGACTCCAACATTAGAAGTGGCTCAGATTCTGTGGAAAGTTTTCAGGTCCCAGGAGCAACTTCAGTACGACCGGAATGAAACTCTCAGAAAGTGTAGTACTCCTGTGAAGTACTCCTGTGAAGTACTCCAGTAGTACTCTTATAGTACTCCTGTAGTACTCCTGTAGTACTCCTGTGGTACTCCTGTAGTACTCCTGTGGTACTCCTGTGAAGTACTCCTGTAGTACTCGTGTGGTACTCCTGTAGTACTCCTGTGAAGTACTCCTGTGAAGTACTCCAGTAGTACTCTTATAGTACTCCTGTAGTACTCCTGTGGTACTCCTGTAGTACTCCTGTGAAGTACTCCTGTAGTACTCTTATAGTACTCCTGTGGTACTCCTGTAGTACTCCTGTGAAGTACTCCTGTAGTACTCCTGTAGTACTCCTGTGGTACTCCTGTGAAGTACTCCTGTAGTACTCGTGTGGTACTCCTGTAGTACTCCTGTGAAGTACTCCAGTAGTACTCTTATAGTACTCCTGTGGTACTCCTGTAGTACTCCTGTGAAGTACTCCTGTAGTACTCCTGTGAAGTACTCCTGTGAAGTACTCCTGTAGTACTCGTGTGGTACTCCTGTAATACTCCTGTAGTACTCGTGTGAAGTACTCCTGTGAAGTACTCCAGTAGTACTCTTATAGTACTCCTGTAGTACTCCTGTGGTACTCCTGTAGTACTCCTGTGAAGTACTCCTGTAGTACTCTTATAGTACTCCTGTAGTACTCCTGTGGTACTCCTGTAGTACTCTTATAGTACTCCTGTAGTACTCCTGTAATACTCCTGTAGTACTCCTGTGAAGTACTCCTGTGAAGTACTCCTGTAGTACTCTTATAGTACTCCTGTAGTACTCCTGTGGTACTCCTGTAGTACTCCTGTGAAGTACTCCTGTGTAGTACTCCTGTAGTACTTCTGTAATACTCTGTAGTACTCGTGTGAAGTACTCTGGAGTGATGCAGTAACAGTAGTACTCGTGTAGATCTCCTGTAGTACTCCTGTAGTACTCTTGTAGTACTCTTGTGAAGTACTCTGGAGTGATGCAGTAACAGCAGTACTCGTGTAGTACTCCTGTAGTACTCTTGTAGTACTCTTGTGAAGTACTCTGGAGTGATGCAGTAACAGTAGTACTCCTGTAGTACTCCTGTAGTACTCGTGTAGTACTCCTGTAGTACTCCTGTAGTACTCGTGTAGTACTCCTGTAGTACTCGTGTAGTACTCCTGTAGTACTCGTGTGAAGTACTCTGGAGTGATGCAGTAACAGTAGTACTCCTGTAGTACTCCTGTAGTACTCATGTAGTACTCCTGTAGTACTTGTGTAGTACTCCTGTAGTACTCCTGTAGTACTCGTGTAGTACTCCTGTAGTACTCCTGTAGTACTCGTGTAGTACTCCTGTGTAGTACTCCTGTAGTACTCGTGTAGTACTCCTGTAGTACTCGTGTAGTACTCCTGTAGTACTCGTGTAGTACTCCTGTAGTACTGGTGTAGTACTCCTCTAGTACTCCTGTAGTACTCCTGTAGTACTGGTGTAGTACTGGTGTAGTACTCCTGTAGTACTCGTGTAGTACTCGTGTAGTACTCCTGTAGTACTCCTGTAGTACTGGTGTAGTACTCCTGTAGTACTCCTGTAGTACTTGTGTAGTAGTACTCCTGTAGTACTCGTACTCGTGTAGTACTCGTGTAGTACTGTAGTACTGTAGTACCTGTAGTACTGGTGTAGTACTCCTGTAGTACTCCTGTAGTACTCGTGTAGTACTCCTGTAGTACTCCTGTAGTACTGTAGTACTGTAGTGTAGTACTCGTGTAGTACTCCTGTAGTACTGGTGTAGTACTCCTGTAGTACTCCTGTAGTACTTGTGTAGTACTCCTGTAGTACTTGTGTAGTACTCCTGTAGTACTGGTGTAGTACTCGTGTAGTACTCCTGTAGTACTCGTGTAGTACTCGTGTAGTACTCCTGTAGTACTGGTGTAGTACTCCTGTAGTACTCTGTAGTACTGGTGTAGTACTGGTGTAGTACTGGTGTAGTACTCCTGTAGTACTCGTTTAGTACTCGTGTAGTACTCCTGTAGTACTCCTGTAGTACTGGTGTAGTACTCCTGTAGTACTCCTGTAGTACTTGTGTAGTACTCCTGTAGTACTCCTGTAGTACTCGTGTAGTACTCCTGTAGTACTGGTGTAGTACTGGTGTAGTACTCCTGTAGTACTGGTGTAGTACTCGTGTAGTACTCCTGTAGTACTGGTGTAGTACTCGTGTAGTACTCCTGTAGTACTCCTGTAGTACTCGTGTAGTACTCCTGTAGTACTCCTGTAGTACTCGTGTAGTACTCCTGTAGTACTGGTGTAGTACTGGTGTAGTACTCCTGTAGTACTCCTGTAGTACTTGTGTAGTACTCCTGTAGTACTCCTGTAGTACTCGTGTAGTACTCCTGTAGTACTGGTGTAGTACTCGTGTAGTACTCCTGTAGTACTGGTGTAGTACTGGTGTAGTACTCCTGTAGTACTCCTGTGGTACTCCTGTGAAGTACTCCTGTGAAGTACTCCAGTAGTACTCTTATAGTACTCCTGTAGTACTCCTGTGGTACTCCTGTAGTACTCCTGTGAAGTACTCCTGTAGTACTCCTGTAGTACTCCTGTGGTACTCCTGTGAAGTACTCCTGTAGTACTCGTGTGGTACTCCTGTAGTACTCCTGTGAAGTACTCCTGTGAAGTACTCCAGTAGTACTCTTATAGTACTCCTGTAGTACTCCTGTGGTACTCCTGTAGTACTCCTGTGAAGTACTCCTGTAGTACTCCTGTAGTACTCCTGTGGTACTCCTGTGAAGTACTCCTGTAGTACTCGTGTGGTACTCCTGTAGTACTCCTGTGAAGTACTCCTGTGAAGTACTCCAGTAGTACTCTTATAGTACTCCTGTGGTACTCCTGTAGTACTCCTGTGAAGTACTCCTGTAGTACTCCTGTGAAGTACTCCTGTGAAGTACTCCTGTGAAGTACTCCTGTGAAGTACTCCTGTAGTACTCTTATAGTTCTCCTGTAGTACTCCTGTGGTACTCCTGTGAAGTACTCCTGTAGTACTCCTGTGGTACTCCTGTGAAGTACTCCTGTAGTACTCGTGTGTACTCCTGTACTCCTGTAGTACTCGTTGTACTCGTGTAGTACTCCTGTGAAGTACTCCTGTGAGTACTCTTATAGTACTCCTGTAGTACTCCTGTGGTACTCCTGTAGTACTCCTGTGAAGTACTCCTGTAGTACTCCTGTAGTACTCTTATAGTACTCCTGTAGTACTCCTGTGGTACTCCTGTAGTACTCTTATAGTACTCCTGTAGTACTCCTGTGGTACTCCTGTAGTACTCCTGTGAAGTACTCCTGTGTAGTACTCCTGTAGTACTTCTGTAATACTCCTGTAGTACTCCTGTAGTACACGTGTGAAGTACTTTGGAGTGATGCAGTAACAGTAGTACTCGTGTAGATCTCCTGTAGTACTCCTGTAGTACTCTTGTAGTACTCTTGTGAAGTACTCTGGAGTGATGCAGTAACAGCAGTACTCGTGTAGTACTCCTGTAGTACTCCTGTAGTACTCTTGTGAAGTACTCTGGAGTGATGTAGTGTAGTAGTTACTCCTGTAGTACTCCTGTAGTACTCGTGTAGTACTCCTGTAGTACTCCTGTAGTACTCTTGTGAAGTACTCTGGAGTGATGCAGTAACAGTAGTACTCCTGTAGTAGTACTGTAGTACTGTAGTACTCCTGTAGTAGTACTCCTGTAGTACTCCTGTGTAGTACTCCTGTAGTACTCGTGTAGTACTCCTGTAGTACTCCTGTAGTACTCCTGTATACTCCTGTAGTACTCCTGTAGTACTCTGTAGTACTCTGGTGTATGCAGTAAGTACTGGTGTAGTACTCGTACTCCTGTAGTACTCGTGTAGTACTCCTGTAGTACTCCTGTAGTAGTACTCGTGTAGTACTCCTGTAGTACTCCTGTAGTACTTGTAGTAGTACTCCTGTAGTACTCCTGTAGTGTAGTACTGTAGTACTCTCCTGTAGTAGTACTCCTGTAGTACTCGTGTAGTACTCGTGTAGTACTCCTGTAGTACTGTGTACTACTGGTGTAGTACTGGTGTAGTACTGTGTAGTACTCTGTAGTACTCCTGTATACTGTACTCGTGTAGTAACTCGTGTAGTACTCCTGTAGTACTCCTGTAGTACTGGTGTAGTACTCCTGTAGTACTCTGTAGTACTCGTAGTAGTACTCCTGTAGTACTGGTGTAGTACTGTAGTAGTGTAGTACTCCTGTGTAGTACTCGTAGTACTCCTGTAGTACTCCTGTAGTACTCGTGTAGTACTCCTGTAGTACTCGTGTAGTACTCCTGTAGTACTCCTGTAGTACTCGTGTAGTACTCCCTGTAGTACTGTGTAGTACTCCTGTACTCTCTGTAGTACTCCTGTAGTACTCCTGTAGTACTCCTGTAGTACTGGTGTAGTAACTCCTGTGTAGTACTCCTGTAGTACTCGTGTAGTACTCCTGTAGTACTCGTGTAGTACTCTGTAGTACTAGTACTGTGTAGTACTCGTGTAGTACTCCTGTGTAGTACTCCTCCTGTAGTACTGGTGTAGTACTCGTGTAGTACTGGTGTAGTACTCCTGTAGTACTGGTGTAGTACTCCTGTAGTACTGTAGTACTCCTGTAGTACTCGTGTAGTACTCCTGTAGTACTCGTGTAGTACTCCTGTAGTACTGGTGTAGTACTCCTGTAGTACTCGTGTAGTACTCCTGTAGTACTGGTGTAGTACTGCTGTAGTACTCGTGTAGTACTCCTGTAGTACTCCTGTAGTACTGGTGTAGTACTCCTGTAGTACTGGTGTAGTACTCCTGTAGTACTCCTGTAGTACTCCTGTAGTACTCCTGTAGTACTCCTGTAGTACTCGTGTGAAGGATTACTGTGGCGTGGGGTAGTAACAGGTGCAGAGTTCATCCACTGAAATAGTTTTGTGGCTTTGAACAAAACAAAATCAAACGTCGTTTGGCTTCAGGATTCGTTCGCTCGACGTCGACAGTCGATGGTTTATTTCTCATGTGTTGATGTGGTGCAGTGGTTCAGTCG